CCGCCCCCACAGCTCCCATTGGCTGCCATTCCAGGCCAATGGGAGCTGTAGGGCTGGCATTTCAGGAATGGGAATTGTGTGGAGTCCCCTGGCTGCCTCTGCTTCTGGGAGCTGCACAGACGCTGCATGTGCAGCAAGGCAAGCACCTGCCCCCGTGCTCTGGATGGATCTCAAGGGCTGGATTAAAAGGTCCAACTGGCCAGTTTGGCCCCCAGGCTGTAACTTCCTCCCACCCCTCTGGTGTAAATGTTTTAGGCCCAGAAGGTCTCTAGCATCTCCAAAGGGGAAGAGTGAGAACAGGAGCTGGGATTCACAGCCCCATGTGGTGTGGTTGGCCTGAAGGCACAGGAGGCTGCCCTGCTATTGGTGGAGAGAGGCAGACAGAAGGGCACTAGGATACGTCTAGTGAACAGAACTTTTTATTCTCTGCGGAGCAGAAAGTTACTTTGTGCGTGCTGCCCGATTTGCTTGAATCTCAAGAACTTTTCACCCATTGCAACGTCCAAGCACGGGGCTTCCTGCTGTCTCTGTGGAGGGGAAAGACACTTGACCTCACATGCTGCAATGACCTCTGGGCCGTTAGCGAGCACAAAGGACAGTGGGGTTGGATACAGCTCCCCTCGGCTTCGGCTACACTAGGTTTGCTGTCCCTGCATTTGTCTAGGCAGGCAAAGAGGCTTTAAACTGAAAGGTTAGCAGAGATGTGACATGCCCAGGCCTCCAGCAGTCATAAGCTCCCCCAACACCAATGGCAGCTATTGCCTGTCCCACTGGGGCATACTCCCCAGGGTAGACAAGGCCTTAGAGACCAGATTCTCTTGCATGGTTGCTTCAAAGGCACAGAGGGGTCCTTTTTACTTTGTGTAAAGTTGTTGGAACAGCTCGCTCTGGGAACCGGGACAAGAGCATTACACCTGGGGAATCAATACGCCCCAGCAGCCAACCTGTTAATTATTATGTAGCTGTGTTAGGGAAGCACTTAGCAGCCCCAGTCATGGAGCATGGCACTAGGCGTTGGACAAACAGAACCAAAGGACAGCCCAGCCCCAAAGAGTTTAGAATCTCCAGATGAGGCAACAGGCGGAGACAGACAGACAAGGGAGCATATGGGAACAATTGTCTGAGTAGATTATACTGTCGCTGGCTGGGGGAAGGGGTGCAACACCCAAACAGAGCAATCAGTGGGCTGTCAGTGGATGTCCTGTTTGTTCGTGGATTTCCTCGGAGGGCATCAGCCAAATGCACAGGGAGATGAAGAGGGGTTGTGGGGGACCAGGCAGGGAAGGCGTGTAGAAGAGGGGAAGGTGCGGTGAAGGTTCTGGGGAGGGTAGATTGGAGCAAACATCTGGTCAGGGCAGAGCAGGGAAAGTCAGCGCTGGCCAGCGATTAAAGATCATGATCGAAGGCAGAAAATGCCATTGTTGCCCACAGCCAGGGACTACAAGCACAGGTGTTGTGCAGCCGCACAGGTCTGCCAAAGCACCTACTGCTTGAACGGCCGCAACCCGTGATATTTTAGTACAGACTTCCCACTGCACCCCAGCCTCTGCAGCACTGGCCTGACCTGCATCCCTGCCGCACCTTCAGAGCCAGCCTGCCGGGGGAGAGGGAGTGTCCGCTGCTCTCACACAAACACGGGGGTGGATTAGGGTGACTTTTTAGGAACCTCCAGAAGCTGTTGCCTGCAGGGAAAAGAAATAAGAATGTCAGGGAATGCCGGAGCAGGCGGGGGAGCAGGTGGGTGCTCACCCTGTGCTAGACAAATGCACTGGAGTGTCAACCAAGCGGGGAGACCCACAATCCCGTCCCCCCCGCGGGCGACTGATGCAAATGCTGTGATGGAGACAGTCGTTTCCTCAAAGCAGAACAAGTTTCCGTCCCACCAACTCCTGCTGGGCCTGGGTTCGTGGGCATGTGTCCCGACAGGCAATTTATCAGCCCCTCCCGACTCTGCCGTGGCTGTCTAGCGATGACCTAGGCTTAGTCCTACGTTCGCCTTTGGAGTTGGATTTCAGAGAGGTCCCAGGGCTCTCGGCTGGAAGCAGCGAAAGGGAAAGCCAGACTAGCAGGGAAGCTATCCCCAGGGCGAGGTCTCTCGGGCGGGGCATAACAAGCCCTCTTCTGTGGGCCGTTTGGGACTGAGCCGGACAAAGCGCTGGAGAGCAGACAGTCTATCCATCGCAGCAGGGTGAGGGTCTTGCGAGGATTTAACCTCCCGACGCCTGCGGGGGGGACGTGTTGTGAGGCCCACTCTTTACAGGAGGCAAAACGAGGCCCAGAGAGAGTGGTTAATTCACAGAAAGCCTGCGGCAGAGCCAGGAATGGAAGCAGGATGCCTGGTTCCCAGCCCAGTGCTTTACTCCCCAGATGATCCTTTCTCTGTGGGGAACGATCCCCACAGGGATGAATTAGATGGATGCTGCGGCTGACGCGGGTGCCAAGCGTTAGGCCCCAAACCGCACACATCGGAATCTAATTCGCTGCACCATCTGTGCAAGGGGAGAGAGGGGCACACACTCGGTTGCCCCCTTATTGCTTAGTCATCGTCAGCCAGAGATACTTTCCTCCTCTGTGGCGGAGGTGGGCCGGCGGGGGACAGGGAGCTGGCGCTCTCCCCATAATGTGTGCTCAGCCTGGGAAGCGAGTGATTTGCCTTCTCGTGCTGGGCGCTCGCACTGGGTCTGGGCTGAAGGAGAGGAGGTGTCTGGGTCGCTACCTACCCGATCTGTTGGGTCACGCAGATGCCTGACAGGGGCTTTTTCCAGATGAGGCTTCCAGATGAAGCTGAGAGGAAACCCAGGAGAAGGCTCCGTCATGTACTGCAAATCACCTGGCAGGTCCCCTCCCCCCAACCAACCAGTGACATTTGATCATCTAAGCAGAGGCGCCAACTTTGAAAAGTTCCCAGGGGTGCCCCAGACCCTGCCTCCACTCCATCTGTCCCCTCCCCCAGAGTGCCAAGTCCTTGCTCCTCGCCCCTCCCCCTGCAGCCTCCCAAATGCCACACAACAGCTGACTGACGGGCGAGAGGCAGGGGAAGGTGCTGGTTGGTGGGTCCGTCAGGAGGCACTGGGAAGGGGGAAGCTAATAGGGGGGTGGCCGGTGAGTGTTCCAGCCCCGGAGCATGTATGGAGTCTGCACCAATGCATCTAAGCATCTTGTCTCCTGCACTGAAAGGAAGGTGAACTCAAGAGACATAGCACTGCTCACTTCTCCTCCTGGTAAATAGATCAGCTGAGGGGGAGCGGGGGCAGGGGTGGGCGTGAGGCTCCCAAAGTGTCCTGACAGCACCTACACAGGTGTGGGGGACAGGAGAAACTCTAGAGACAGGAGAGCTTGGTTCCCAGGTCAGAGCGCCTCAGGGGCAAAGGGACTTACACTTTTGCTCTGCGGAAGACTCCCCTTCCTCCCGAGGCTGAGGTAGCAGCAGCTGGATCCCCTTGAGCAGCGTGAACCTAATGATCGGGTGGTCCTCTATTGAAAGAGGAGACAAAACAATACACTGCCAGTGACTGCTCCGGCAATGGGAACTTCTTCCAATGCTCTGCCACCCAGCTGTTCCCACACCGATTCGCAGGTCTCCGCAGCTCCTGGATGCGCAGCTGGGGATGTATCCCTCTCCCCTTCCCATAGTCAATGACCCTCGGCACAAGGAAGAAGGCAGCGGCTCAGAGTAATCCAGCAAGCGTCTCATTCGTTGATATTGTGGCCCAATAATGGGCAACCTGCGGCCCTTCAGGGCTTTGTGTGTGGCCTGTGAGCCCATGTGCAGGGTTACCAGATTCCGCTGGTTTTTGTCTGCATAGGGGTTTTTTTCCTACTGATGTTCCTAAAGGGACATACACATAAAACACGGGCACGGGAAGGGAAGTGCGTGTTGAGTGCACACAGTGGGAGCTGTGCACTCCCTCTGCAGCCGATCAAAGTGTTGCTACGGTTCAGTCGGGGACCCCCTGCAAGTTTTAGGTCCGCAAGCGCCATTCGGCACAGCTACCCTATTCTGGGAGACTGTCTTAGTTGTGACAATCTTGCAGCCCATGGAGATGGAGGGCCACTCACTAGCCCAAGGGTGGGTAAAAGGGACTCCGCGGGCCAGATCTGGCCCACCAACTGGGTTGATCCAGCCCACGGAGGTCCTGCTGCTCCCCACGCCCAGGTCAATTAGGGCCTGGGGGCAAAGGAAAGTGCATGAAGTTTCCTCCGCCCTCCCAGGAGTGCGCGGCTCTTAGAAGCACCATGCACTCCTGGCACGGAGAGAGGAGACTTCGCGTGCTTCTCCACCCCCAAGCCCTGATTGACCTGGAGGCGGGGGGCACGCAGAGTTTCCTCCATCCTGCCCCCGCCATGCAAGGAGCATGCAGCGCTTAGGAACACCATATGCGCTCCTTCACCCCCAAGCCCTGATTGGTCTGGGCGCAGAACGGGGAGCGCGCCAAGTCTCCTCTCTCCGCCTCGAGGGAACCTCTTGGGAGGGGGAGAAGACTTCACGCACTCCCCCAATCATGGTCTGTGGGTGGGGAAGCAGGGAAATATCCTGGCCCCTCCCCTTCCGCTTGAGGCTCCGCCCCTTCCGGTGCAGCCTGGGGCCACTTCAAAAATTTCTGAAAGTGGCCTTCGGCAAAAAATGATTGCCCACCCCTGCACTAGCCTCAGTTGCCCGTCGTTGTTGTAGTCTGTTTTCCTGGCGCGTTAGGCAAGGTCAATAACACAAGATGAGGACAAACTGCCACATGCCCTAGGATCTGCTGCTTCAATGGCAATCCACGAGGGTAGGAGCCACTGATCATCCCATGATACAGGTCTTGAAGGACAGGAGCCAGGGCCTTGTGTTTAGTCCAGTGTTGTTCAAGGTGGTTTGTTTGAGTATGTGAATGGAGGGAGGTGGTACACAAAGCCGTGAAGGCGCATACAGCTTTACACACAGCTGCACGGTTTAATCCTTTGCCAGCCACGCACAGCCACACATCCATAGTCCGACACATGCATGCAGCCAGCCCGCCGGGGTGTGCACAAGAAGGCTGTGTCTACACTGGCAAGTTATTCTGGAAAACCAGCCGCTTTTCCGGAAAAACTTGCCAGCTGTCTACACTGGCCACTTGAATTTCCGGAAAAGCACTGATGATCCAATGTAAAATCATCAGTGCTTTTCCGGAAAAACTATGCTGCTCCCGTTCGGGCAAAAGTCTTTTTCCAGAAAACTGTTCCGGAAAAGGGCCAGTGTAGACAGCATAGTAGTGTTTTCCGCAAAAAAGCCCCGATCGCGAAAATGACGATGGGGGCTTTTTTGCGGAAAAGCGCGTCAAGATTGGCCACAGACGCTTTTCCGGAAAAAGTGCTTTTCCAGAAAAGCGTCCTGCCAATCTAGACGCGCTTTTCCAAAAATGCTTTTAACAGAAAACTTTTCCGTTAAAAGCATTTCCGGAAAATCATGCCAGTGTAGACGTAGCCGAAGAGTATCTACAGAAGAAGCTCTGCTTCATCCTCACATAGCAGATGTCATCTGAATTGCTCCTTCCCTGAATTAGAGGTTTAAAGTTCTGATTTCTTTTTTTTTTTCCAAGCTGCCCTAAAGAAGATCCTTCATCGTATTCTCAAAGGCTACAGTCCCAGCTGAGACATTGCTTTGCGTGCCTGAAGCTGCCCAAGAGAAGGCACAAGCTGACACCCTGTGGCCAGGTGGAATTAAAATGCAAGTTTAAAAATTCAGTGGGAATTTCCCAGAAAGAGAGGCAACTGGGGCAGAGGGGCTGGGCAGAGCGATTAATTTAAAATACGTCTGTGTTTTGCTTATTCTTCTGACGAGCATTGCCCTTTGCAGCTGCTGCTTTGTCACGAACGTAATCCCAGAAATAAACGAAAGTAAATAAAGGTGCTTTCGCATGAACAATACATACATTTAGGGATTTTTTTGCCTAATAATTTTAGAGGATTTTTTTAAAACTATTTAACCTGTCCTGTGGATAACCTGATTAGCTAAAGCTTTTGCTTTAGGATGCGATCATGATCGGGAAAGTATCTTAGCAAAAGTCAACAGGAACAGTGTATTCTCAATGGTATTTGCAAGTTGAAACAAGACTTTTTGGACCGCCTAAAATACAGTTTCATCCTGGGTTTGGAAATTCAGGTGGGTGCTTCCCCTTCTCCTACAAGGAGACCAACGATACAGATTCTGCAATCAGAGAGTGACTGGCAAGTGTGTGGACGACACAAAGCAGGAGAGACTCTGCTCTGCTTTCCCATCAGTATCTCAGCGTTGCAGTGTGAACACAGTGGTAACAATTGCAGATGGTGGTTCTCATGTAACGGGCAGCTCTAGAAACTGACACAAACCCAGGGAAGAGCTATAACACGCAGGTTAGAGTGTTTTATGCCTCTTCTTCTGAGCCAGATCTAGTGTGGATGTTGGTCTGCTAAAGGCTTTAGCTACAGAGTTCTGGATTCTGCGAGGGGCCCTGGTGCGGCATGGAGCTCTGTGAGGGCACAAGGGTGTGCCCGTTTGGCACGCCTTGCTAGATTATGGCCACAACGGGATGGAACAAGACGCCACTTCAACAGATTCCACTTGCCGTCCCATCCAGAGCAACACATCAAGTCTGGGATGACGACTGGTCACCTCTCAAAGCATTGTGGTTTTTTAACAGGAACTCTGGCAGTGGACAGCATGGAACTGAAGTAGTTAATGGCTGTAATGATTTGCTTGTACTGCATATAGCTCTCTTCATAAAGCTCTGTACGAAGATTTGTATGCGTTCCCAAACAGCCCTGTCAGGCAGACACCCTGTCTTTTTACATGCATTTGAAATTTTGATTTATATATGGCCAAGAATAACCATGTGAGGAATCAAATTTTGTCTGCTTCCTCAGGAGGCCAGTAATACTGAGTTTGGGTTTCAGAAGCCCTTTGTTAAACATTCCACAAACACAGAAGGAAGAGAGGTTGGCGTGGTTACATACAGTAACTTCTAGAAACGACGAGTGGTCCTATGGCATCTTAAGAGACTAACTAAAATATATAGAATCATGAGCTTTCATGGACAAAACTCACTTCATCAGATGAATTGGAGTGGAAATAACAAGCCAAGAGAGAGAGATAACAGCAGAAGAAGTTCCAGTCAATTGTGGGACCCGTGTTAATGAGGCTAATAAAGTGTGCTGGATGTGTGCCCTACATAGCTTTTAATGTGGAAATGCGGATATTAATGGCAGGAGAAATTGGCTTTGTAATGTGCCAACCAATTAATGTCTTTGTTTAGGCCCAGGATAACAGTGTCAAATCTGTAGATAAATTCCAGTTCTGCAGACTTTCTCTGTAATTGGTTAGTGAAATTCCTTTGTTGAAGAATGGCTACTTTTAAATTCATGATTAAGTGACCAGGCAGGTTAAAATCAAGCAAACATGATAATGGGAGGCATTAACAGGAATGTTGTGAGCAAGACACAAGAAATCATTCTTTTGCTCTACTCTGCGCTGATTAGGCCTCAGTTGGGCTACGTCTACACAGGCATGATTTTCCGGAAATGCTTTTAACGGAAAAGGTTTTCCATTAAAATATTTCCGGAAAAGCACGTCTAGATTGGCAGGATGCTTTTCCGGAAAAGCACTTTTCCCGGAAAAGCGTCCGTGGCCAATCTAGACGTGCTTTTCCGCAAAAAAGCCCCAATCGTCATTTTCGCGATCGGGGCTTTTTTGCCTAAAATACTACTGTGCTGTCTACACTGGCCCTTTTCCGGAACAGTTTTCCGGAAAAAGACTTGTGCCCGAACGGGAGTTTTTCTGGAAAAGCACTGATGAATTTACATTAGATCGTCAGTGCTTTTCCGGAAATTCAAGCGGTCAGTGTAGACAGCTGGTAAGTTTTTCCGGAAAAGCGGCTGATTTTCTGGAATAACTTGCCAGTGTAGACACAGCCTTGGAGTATTGCATCCAGTTCTGGGCACCACATTTCAAGAAAGATGTGGAGAAATTGGAGACGGTTCAGAGAAGAGCAACAAAAATTATTAAAGGTCTAGAGAACATGAGCTATGAGGGAAGACTGAAAGAATTGGACTTTTTAAGTTTAGAAAAGAGAAGACTGAGAGGGGACATGATAGCAGTTTTCAAGTATCTAAAAAGGTGTTACAAAGAGCAGGGGGGGAAATTGTTCTCCTTGGCCTCTAATGATAGGAAAAAAAGCAATGGGCTTAAATTGCCACAAGGGAAGTTTAGTTTAAACGTTAGGAAAAAATTCCTACCTGTCAGGGTGATTAAACACTCAAATAAATTGCCTAGGGAGGATGTGAAGTCTCCATCACTGGAGCTATTTAAGAGCAGGTTAGACAGACATCTATCAGGGATGATCTAGGCAGTATTTGGTCCTGGCATGAGGGCAGGAGACTGGACTCGATGACCTCTCGAGGTTCCTTCCAGTTCTATGATTCTGTGAATGTTCCCCAACAGATTTATGTATGTTACCATTTCTGATGTCTGATTGGTGTCTATTTATCCTTTGTGTGAAAATAAAATGTATTGTTCCTTGGGATAATTATTGAGCTCTGTTTAACCTGGTCAGTATATTGATATACATCTCAACGGACATTCAGACCATTAGAGCTACATAAAACTCCTGTAACACAATAGAATCAAGGCTGCTTATCTTCATTTTAGATGCAGGGAAACCGAGGCACGGCAGTTGCATGACTTGACCAAGGTCATTCAATGAACAGAACCCTAAACATGTGACTCCTAGTTTCCCATTATATATAGTACCTACTTGACAGCACTACCTCCTTTAATAAAAAATTGACTATTCTGATTAAAAAAGTCAATTAAATATTGCCAAATGAATCTTCAGTTAGGAAGCCAAGGTGTCACAGGGAGTGACAGTCACTTCCGTGCTAATGTCTCTTCATCATTTTACAGTTTGGTTCTTAACTGTGTTGGCACTAAGTGCCAGGCTGAGGAGTGAAAATTCTTCCAGATCCCTAGAGAATGTACCTTAAAACAGTAACCCCACATCTGAGTCATCCCCAGATCCTGACTGCAGCGTCTCTGCATTCTAAGTGCTCGACGCAGCCCTGGTGTAATGTCACTGAGACCAGCGAAGTTACACGAGACATGAATCATTCCTCAATCTGCTTTCACCTCAGAGCCTGGCTCGGAGCCAAATTTGCAACCCAGAATTTTTTTTGGTTTAATGTCTGTTTGGAAGGGTTGAATTTTGGGGGGAACGTGGTATAGGGAAGCTACTGCGTTTATTGTGGAGAAAGTGCCTTTGATGGATATGACCCTACTGTGACTTTCCGTATTCAGTAGCAGATGTATACTTGTGGGACTTACCACTGGGTTGGGGTTTGTATGTTTTTCATGTGCTACCGAGGAGGGAATGAAGAGAGAGGCTCTAGCAGTTCTGGGACCACCATGCAGATTGCAAATGACCGCCAACATAGGAAGACAGGAATTGCCCCGACTGATCAATATTAATCTATCAGTTCCAATCTTGTGCTTCAGTTACAGTATCTGTAGCCAAACAGGATGGTTCACAAAAAAGTCCCCAAGTCAATTGTGCCGCATTTTACCTGGAAGAAGATTCCTTCCTGTTCCATTTTCTACCGTGAAGCATGACAGCTGCCTAATCTGTGCAGAGACCCACCAAATACCAGACATTGCCTCTGCTCATATGGAGCCTGCTCGTGAGCCGCTGCCGGAAGCACTAGAGGATGGGCACGCCTGAGAGGGCTGATGCACAGCAGATGTGACAGCCCAGGCACCAGAGAAAGAAAGACACTGAGGAAGAGGCCATCTCAGCTTACCCCCACTGAAGATACCGGGTGCCTTTGGCAATTCCTTAGAAGGGAGTTTAGGGAGAGATTTTGTGATCTTTGGGTGTCTGCGGAGGAACGCCGTCGCCTTCCAGTTACAGTATCTGGAGGGGAAGGACAGACAACAAATCAAGACTAACTCACCTCAGGAGTACAGCCAGCAATCATGTCCCATTCAGAAAGGAGGTGAGAGAGCGCCTGACGCCCATCACTGCACCCCACCTTGCCCAGCCCAACGGAGAAGGATTTTCACCTTTTCCAGAAGTGCATCAGAACGGGGAAGACGTTGAGCAAAGCCACGTGATACAGGCTGCGATCCAGGACTCCTTTGGAAACTAAATTCCGGATGGAATCTTTCTGTCCCTCAGAAATGTTCACCTGGCCACAGAAGAGAGACCACTTCAGAAAGGGGGCATGAGGCATGGGTGGCATCCCAAAAAGGAACACTCCTAGTAACTCCGCACTTTCCCCCGTCCCCTGTTCCAGGGTTCAGCATTTCGCTTAGAGATCTCCAGTCACAGTTCAAAGGTCTCCAAGCGGGGTCCCTGTTTATTTCCTGGCTAAATAGCCCAGCCCTGACCAGAGGGGCCCATGCCTAGGTGGCCATGCGGTTGCCATGCCCACTCCCTCCTCACTCCCTGTGGACTCCCAACTGCCATCCGACGTGAGAGTGGGTTTGGTGACAATGGACACTGCACATTCGGACCCGGATTGAGGATAATAACGTACTTCGCACAATGCCACACAACTGCCCTGTACCCCGCCGGTGCAGACTGAAACCTGGGTCCCATTATTAATTCCCCCACGCCAGACCACCCCCGTGCACAAGGCTCTCGGGCGAAGGTTTGCAGGCCCCAGGCCTCCGTGGCAGTGAGCATGCAGGGCGTGTGACAGCGTCCTACCCGCAGTTTAGGAGGGACTTCAGAATTCAGGAAGAGTTTGGTGATGGTGGCCACTTTGGTCTTCAGAAAGGCAATGTCCCTCTCGGTGTACATCCCGCAGGCCGCGAGCACTGCGGCCGAATCAGCCAGGCGACAAAACCTGCCGGGAACACAACAAAAGGGGCCATCTCACAGAGGAGCGATGGGAGCAGCTGTCTACTCAGACAACACGTGGCTTTTTACAGAGATTCTGTAAGCCATGTAAGGGATTTGGAAGCCCCCTTCCCCCTAAGGTTCACCCCCTGCCCTGTGGTACATGTCTTCCTCCAAAGAGGGAGGGACAGGGTGTATACTCCACACTGGTAAATAAAGAGTAATCTGGAGTCAGAGGACAATGTAGGCACCCAGTCGCACCTGGCGGACAGGCCAGGTCCAACTGAAGATGAAACCCAGCTCGGGAGGGACTGAGGGGAGACAGGTTGAAGGTAAGAACTTTTCAATCCTCTCTGGTCAATGGGGAGGCCTATGGGTCAAGGGAGGATTTCAAGGCCGGAGAGGAACGATGAATCCTGGAGGCAGTAGGCCTTGGTGATGCTCTCCTGACATGGGAACCCTGGAACAGGCCAAGAGAGACACTGGGAATTCAGAGGGGTGGAGCAGTCCCTCGATGGGGAACACTAACAGGAACAGGGTCTCTGGGTTGGGGGAGGGGGAGATCTGGGAGGTATCGCTCACAAGAAATGAAAAGAACTTTGCAGAGCCCGGTAAGGGGCAGGAGGAAAGCCAAGGTAGGAAGCCCTCTGACGAGGTGCGCAGGGGAGTTGACCTTGTCTGCTTCCACGGGGTCCCAGAGAAGAGAGAGGGCCTAGGGTCCCCTCCTGGCTACTCGGGAAGGTGGCATGAAACTCCCATACAAGGGGTAAGCACTATGGGAAGCCTTGAGGCAAGAGGTGCCAAGGGGCCCAGAGTCAGGGCTGGAGACCTGAACTAAGGACATTGCACTGGTGTTTGCAGGACTTTCTGCCACCCCAGAAAGGGTGGGACTGCACATGGCCTGGCCAGAGGGCTGACTCACCTGAAGATGCAGACCCCCTAGGCTGGAGCAGCTGACTCACGTGGGTATGAGACCAACCCCTGCTACACCGCATCCAGCCACGAGGGGGTGGGCCAGTGGTGAGTCATTCTATTCTGGGGGTGGTGGGGGATGGCATAGGCCAGGGTTCCCAGATACAGGCGCAACAGCCCGTACTGTGTACCTAGCTTGCGCTCAGCAGAGCACCCGCCAGTGCTCCGCAGGCTGCTCGCGGTGCCTGGATCACAGTTGGGCTAACGCAATGTGGGACGTGGGCAACCTGGCATGACAACCTCCTGCCATGGAGACACACAACTTATGTCGCTGCCATTGGCTGGGAGAGTGAAGGCGAGGGCTCTCCAGAGTTCTGTTACCGCCACTCCCTGATCAGCCAGCGGGTGTCACTGTGGTGCATGGGGCGCCAAGTACTAGCTCACACTGGCACCCCCTTCTGGCTGTGCACAGGAATTGTCTCCATGGACACGAACAGGTCTTTGTGTCCCGTCTCTGCCCTCCCAGCACCACGTCGCTGCAGTGTAAGCAACAGAAGAGTGTCAGCTGTCCCTGGGACGGGCGTGCCGCTCAGTCTGAGCCAGCCCACCAGGCCAGGCAGAAGCGAACAATATTCAAACAAACGGACGGGGCGGGCAGGCTTACTTATCAATCTCCAGGAAGAAACAGAGGTCGTTGACCAGGAAGTTGACAGTAATTAGCCGCTGGTTATGCAACCGGCGCTTCACCAGTATCACCTCCACGTCCTCTACCAGGCTGACAGCCGGCACGGCCTGGCGGGGGCTGCCCATGGCGATGTTACTGCGCAAGGAGCTACTGGGCAAGTCTGAGGGAGGAGAAGGACACACTGGAGCAATTCACCTCCCTCAGGCTCCACAGTTTGTGGCGGGTGTCTCGCCCTGGCATCCCCAGTCCCTACACTTCCCCCAGTACACACAGGGCTCATCCCGAGCCCTTATACCTCACAGGCTGCTCTCCAGGCCCTGCATGCCCCAGCACTGCCCTCCATCACCAGGAAGGAACTTACATTAGCGCTACACCCCAGACCATCACGTGGTGGAAATACTGACAGCTGAAGCTGACTCCTAAGTCGCTGCACAGACTGCCTGAGCATACCAGAAGCAACTGGTGGGTGCTCTCTTCAGATGAGCTGAAGTGTAAGGCGCAGGCAGGTCCCGGGGGGCTGGGCAGCACACTCAGCTTTAAATTGGGCCTGATTTTTCATGACAGTGCCCGACTGGGGCCTCCTCCAGCAGCGCTGTGCCCCCAGGTTAGCAAATGGGATTTCTCCGGCTCCCGTGACTGAATTCTTGCTGGGTGGGAGCAGAGACGAGCACGGCCGCTTCCCTCTCTCCGAGCCGGCTGGCATCCTGGCCTCCAGCAGAGAACTCTCCAGGACCAAAATACAGGGGACAAGCTGGCAGGCCCCTGCTATTACTACCCGGGAGGTACTGGTGGCAGGCAGGAGACGGAGCAGGATCTGGACGTACTTTCCTTTCGATTGAAGAGCTCCCTCCGGAGAAAGTCCTCGAAGTTCTTGCGGGCTTGCCAGTGGCGCATCTCCCTCTGGAACTTGCAGATGCTCCTGATGAAGGCCTGGAGCACCAACCACACTCTCTTCTGTGGGCCAAGAGCATGGAGAGTGTCATGCGCCTATGCACAGCTTGAGGGCAGTGGGCTAAGGGAGAGGCAGCTGGGCAGAGAGCCAAGGCTGTAATTAATTATGGGCCTGATGGGAATTACCCTGATTATTCCCTGGGAGTCTGTGCAGCCAGGACTTCTTGCTCAGGCAAACCTGCCACTAGGCAGTAAAGCACCAAAATGCGTCCCCATTCAGTGGAATTACTGACCCCACTGAGCCAATCGCAGCCTGGAGGGATGTTGCTGTTAAACAAACTTCCTGAAGAAAGTCAGTGGGGCTCTGCCTGGGCCCGGAGGTCTGTCCGGGCTGAGGAACTTGCAGCCGGGGGGCGGGGGGGGGGCTGCAGACATTAACCCTCTCCTTCTGAACAGAGTTGCTCTGCAGCCCCACAAGACCCCAGACCCGCAGCACACTGGCATCAAGATACTCACAGAAAAAAGCAGCGCCCCTGACAGCTTGTGCTCTGGAGTCTAGCTGGGGTATCAGTCGGCGGCATGCAGGCCATCCTTACTTACCAGCTTGTCCTTTATGAAGGATCCCCTCCCCTGTCTCGGGACCGCGTGAGGGTCGAAAACCTCACTCCCAGGATACAAGCTTTGGTACATCTTAAACCTGCCGGGATGGGCGAGGGTTAGCGCGAGCGGTGGGCAACCAGCCAGTCAGTAAGGCAATGGGCATGAGGGGAGAGTGGAGCGAAGACCGAGATGGGGAGGAGAGAAGTGGTGCTGGGGGATGACAAGGCCAGTCCCAGAATGTGGGATACCTCAGGCATGTGTGCCCCGTTGTAGTGAAATGAGCCAGGGCTACTCACCATTTCTCTTCCATGACCTTCAGGATAAAGCTCTGCGCTGCGAAGAGCATGGAGCTGGAGACCAGGCCGACCCGGGCTATATCTCTGATGATGGGAGCTCGGCAGTGTAGCAGTTCCTCTAGAAAAGACACATGGTCACCACCTCTTGGCCGCACCAGGTAACCTGTCACTGCAAGGACCATCAGAGTCGTCCATGAATTGCCAGCCCTCAGGTTCACAAGGTCCAGGGCCTTCATCAGCATCACTGCCCCACTGTCACTTTGGCCCAATGCATCTTTCCTCCTCCCTTCACATTGTCCCCTTTGGTAACAACATTTTTTAACCCAGGAAGCAGGCTGCAGGTCATGTGGGTACCGCGGCATCTCCTGCACTGGTCAAGTGACCCTACTGAGCTCAAAACTTCTGGGCTGTGTCTAGACTGGCAAGTTTTTCCGGAAAAGCAGCTGCTTTTGTGGAAAAACTTGCCAGCTGTCTACACTGGCTGCTTGAATTTCCACAAGAACACTGACTTCCTACTGTCTGAAATCAGTGCTTCTTGCGGAAATACTATGCTGCTCCCGTTCAGGCAAAAGTCCCTTTTGCGCAAAAGGGCCAGTGTAGACAGCTCAGATTTGTTTTGCGCAAAAAAGCCCCGATGGCGAAAATGGCGATCGGGGCTTTTTTGCACAAAACCGCGTCTAGATTGGCACGGACGCTTTTCTGCAAAAAGTACAACCCTAGAGGATGCTCCCTGTGGTCAAGCATCCTCACCAACTTGTGTACCGGTGCCATGGCTCTGGTGCTGCCCCGCCATTATGGCTCACGGCAACAACGGGAACACAGCACAGGCTGGGCGCCCACTGGAGCAAGGGACTCCCCTTCCACCCCCCAGGGCTGAGCGGGCTGTGGCCCACCCACTTATGATCAAGACCCATTCACCCCGTCTCAGCTTGTCCCCTGCTCTCGTGTCCCCAGCCCTGTCCAGCCACTCTGGCACACTTGCCAGGGAGCGGGGTTGGATGCAGGACTTGTCCCATTCCTCCCTTGCAGTGCTCCAGCTGGGGAGCCTGGTTGGGGACTTGTCATAGAATCATAGAACCCTGCGGCAGGAAGAGACCTCAGGAGTCATCGAGTCCAGCCCCCTGCCCAAAGCAGGACCAACCCCAACTCAATCATCCCAGCCAGGGCTTTGTCAAGCTGGAACACAAAAACCACAGGGCTGGAGATTCCACCCCCTCCCTAGGGAATCCATCCCAGTGCTTCACCGCCCTCCTAGGGAAGTAGTTTTTTCCTAATAGCCAACCTAGACCTCCCCCACTGTAACTTAAAACCATTGCTCCTTGTTCTGCCATCCGTCACTACTGAGAACAGCCTCTCTCCGTCCTCTTTGGAACCTCCCTTCAAGAAGTGGATGCTGCTGTCAAATCCCCCCTCACTCTTCTGTAGACTAAATAAGCCCAAATCCCTCAGCCTCTCCTAGTAAGTCATGTGCTCCAGCCCCCTAATCATTTTCATTGCCCTCCGCTGGACTTTCTCAAATACATCTACAGCCTTTCTGTAATGGGGGGCCCCAGGATTGGACACAATACTCCAGATGTGGCCTCACCAGTGCCGAATAAAGGGGCACTTCCCTAGATCTGCTGGCAATGCTCCTCCTAATGCAGTGTAATATACCATTAGCATTCTTGGCTACAAGGGCACCCTGCTGACTTATATCCAGTTTGTCATCCGCTGTAATCCCCAGGTCTTTTTCTGCCAAACTGCTGCTTAGCCAGTCGGTCCCCAGCCTGTAACTATGCTTGGGATTCGTCCGTCCCAAGGGCAGGACTCTACACTTGTCCTTGTTGAACCTCATCAGATTTCTTTTGGCCCAATCCTCCAACTTGTCTAGGTCACTATGATTCTATCCCTACCCTCCAATGTATCTACCTCCCCCCTTGCTTAGTGTCATCCGCAAACTTGCTAAGGATGCAATCCATCCCCTCATCCAGGTCATTAATAAAGATAATGAGAAGTCCTGTGGCACCTTATAGACTAACAAATGTATTGGCTCATAAAATTCCATGGGCCAAGACCCACTTAATCAGATGCATGTCAGATATGCATCTGATGAAGTGGGTCTTTGCCCACGAAAGCTTATGCTCCAATAAATCTGTTAGTCTATAAAGTACCACAGGACAAAATGAACCCCAGAACCGACCTCTGGGGCACTCCACTTGATAAGGTATGTCTACTTTGCATTCCTCCTTCGAAAGAGGATGCAAATGCAGATAAACAAAATTGCAAATGAAGCGCGGATTTGAATTTCCCACGCTTCATTTGGATAATCCTGGTCGGCCGCTTTGCTGAAATACCATATTTTGAGAAAAAAATGCAGTCCACACAGGGTTATTTCAAAAAGAAACCCTTCCTTTGAAATAACCCTTACTCCTTAAAAAAATGAGGTTTAAGGGTTATTTTGAAGGAAGGGTTTCTTTTCGTTTTTTTCCCTCGAAATACGGTATTTTGGAAAAGCGGCCGGCCACGATTATGCAAATGAAGCGTGGGAAATTCAAAGCCGCGCTTCATTTGCAATTTCGTTTGTCTGCATTTGCATTCCTCTCTCAAAGGAGGAATGCAATGTAGACATACCCATACTGACTGCCAAGCAGCCATCGAGCCGTTGATCACTGTCCGTTGAGCCCAACAATCTAGCCACTCTGGGTGCTTAGGCCTGGCCCTTTGCCCAGAAAAATCACTCTATGATGGGCTGTCCCTTTCCCTTGTAGCCTAGTAGGTGGTCTGGATCAGCTCAGCTCTGGGCAGTAGGGAGTCTGCCTACCGGCGGGCACTTCATTATGGAAGAAATTCTTGGTGATGCTGTTGATCAAAGATCTTTGGTTCTTGAAATTGGACTCAGCATTGAGCTTTTCCACCGCCATCCAGAAGAGCAGAGGGGCTTCGGCATTATGTTCCTTGAGGAACTGCCTGAAGAACGCCAGGTGGACAGGATTGTGCAGCACTTCTATGAGATACCTGGCGGGGAGGAGGTTCTGGGTGAGGAGGCAGGACACTCTGCCTGGGTCAAGAGATGGAGCCCTGGCATTTAGGGATCTGGGGCAAATCTGTCAGGGATGGTACTTGGTCCTCTCGTGAGGGCAGGCTACTGGACTCGATGACCTCTCAAGGTTCCTTCCTGTTCTATGAGATAGGTATATCTCCTTTGGCCTCGGGAATTTCTGTTCGACTCCCAGTGATGCTGGGAGGGTTGAAAGCGTGGGGGCCTGATGAAGGCACAGACAGAGCACGTCTTCTCTGTGACATGGGAAAGCAGATGTGTAGCTTCTCCTCAGCTCATTAAGAACCATGGGATCCAGCCTCCTGCCCAACCTGTCCCCTTGGTTCTTGTAAACAAGGAACCCACCTAGGAGGCAACAGCATGGGGGGAATTTCCCGGACCTGGCTCACGCCAGAGGGAACTGGGAGGCCAATGGAGTCATTCTGGATTTGCTCTGGTGGCCCAGACAGCAGGATCTGACCCAGCAGCTCTGCTGCTGCCATTTTTCACAGACGATCCCAATCAGAGAACTAAGTTGGGGACCAGATTAATGGCACTAGACTTCAGCCGGGCACTTGAAGGCATCTACCCTGGCTGAGCCCCCAGGGATCAGCAGCAGCAGACAGGACGCTTACCGGCTCTAGTGCTGAAGGTATATCAGCTCAGCAGGGAACCGGATTACAGAGGCAACAGAAATAAATGAACAAGGTGGGGGGAAGCCTTATTAATGATGCTCAACAGCACCTCCTGCTGGGCGAGTAGGAGCAGTTCAGCCCTGCAAGGTGACGTACATGAAGGTGCATTCCACTGCCCAGCTCACAGCCATATCAGTGTCTCTGTCTGAGAGAGCCCCACCCTCGGAGGCTGGTGGGCTGGTGCCACAGTAAGACGACTAACAGGGCGGGTGTTTGGAAAGCGTGAGGCTGGAGAGAGGGGAGGTGGTAAAAAGGAGGAAAGCTCCGTGACGCGGGGTGCTGTACCTGGGTCTTATTGAGGGTTTCCTTAACATGAGGGTATCCCTCCTCAACCAGGCCAGACTTATCTTGCTCAGGCAAACGGGCTTCCTCTTTTCGCCTTCAAGATCAAAGGCTGTGATAGGGAGGAGAGAATTGGGACCGCGGTTACCAGGAGCCGTGTCTGAGCGAGCACAGACTGACTCAGCCTCCAGGCGGAGGAACCTAACGGACTCTGGGCAGTCTCCAAACCCGCCACGACAACGTTCACGGCGTGAGGCACGGAGATTGCACCACCTCAGGCGAACGAAAGAACCTGGGCTGAGGACACTCATCAACTGGCTACGGCCAGGTCCCTGCGGTGTTAGCCGCTGGCAAGTCCTCCTTCTCCCTGAAAGCAAGGACAAGGCGCCGGAGTGCAGGCCTCTCTGTGAGGCCAGGACTCGCCTTTCCCTATTCCTTCTGGCAATGATCTCCTGAACCTTAGGAGGCAAGTAGGTGGGCCTCTCCCCAGCCTAAGGATGCCCTCCGGGATCAGTCCTTCAAGCTCCTGTCGGCTAGTCACTGCCCATAAGTTTGTTTTCAGTCTGCCTTGGTTCTAGTCTCTCATCAGCACTCACCCAGGGAAGGAAACATGCGGCAGAAGTACTCGTAGTCCTCACTCAACATCTGTACAGCCATTGAAGGATTCCTGAGGGTCAGCTCCTCAAATGTCATTCTCCTGTAGTCTGATGGGGCAGAGACAAGAGGGGATGGACTAAGCACTCGTTCAACCTGTGGGTACCAATCAGCTTTGGAAAAATGCTTAAAGAAATAATTCATGGTGTTAAGCTGTGCTAATCTTCCCGCCCACACCCCCGCCCATTTCTTCTCCATTCTGGTCCTTTGACTCCCCCACTATTGTGATGAGCAGTAACCAGGAGAGCTAGATCACAGTGATCAAAAATACTTTTCAAACACCCTCCCTGCAAGAACTGTAGGGCTGTTCCCATTGTACAGATGGGATGAAGTTCTGCTGTACACAAAACCGAACCTGGGACCTCTAGAGCAAGGGCATGAGCCTCTACCACATGGACTAGTTGGCTGCTAGCTAAAGCAATAGAGCAGACTCATTATTCTTTCTGTATAAGCAGGCTGGGTGCCACTAGATGAGACAGTGCGCCATACCCAGACAGTGCACGAGTTACTGAAACACAGAAGTGGCCACTCCTTGAACTAAATCAGTGCAGGAGTTTACAACAGCTTTTGCCAGTGTGGCTCTTGGCAGCAGAAGTCCACTGGGCGAGAGAGTACAGCACTACCACAACTTCCCCTGTACGGGGGCACCAAGGCAGTCCAAGGTGAGGTGTGGCCAAACCTGATGGCCAGGGGTTTCAGTGCATTCCTACTGCAGCCTCCACACAGTGCCATGGCCCAGGCTGGTGGGGAAAGGAACAATTGACTCAAAGCTGGAATTACAATCCAAGTATCTCTGACTTCAAAGCCCTGTCCCTCTGTACTCTCCTAGGCATATATATGGGTTCCCACTCCATATGTGACCTTTAGATACCCTATGCAATGGGAGATGTGTACAGTGTGTTTTGTCAGCCCACATGACTTGCTATTATCTGCCATCTCCCTCTGGGCTGTTGACAGAAAGCAGTGTTTCTTGAACTGTGTTTCATGGCACACCAGTGTGCTGTGGAGAACAACAGAGTTCAAAATGGCTGCCCTTAAATGGGCAGGTAACCTTTCTCTCTCTCTCTCTCTCTCTCTCTCTCTCTTTTCCCCTCAATAACTTTTCCCCAGTCTCTCTCTCTCTCTCTCTTTTTTTTTTTTGCTCAACAAAAAAATCCTTGGTGTTCCTCATAAAAAAAAATTGTTTCGTGTTCCCCCATCTTAAAAAGTTTAAGAAACACTGACATAAAGGGTCACATAACATGGCATGAGTGTATTTCCCTCCCGCCTAAGGCTGAACACAATGACTGTGCAAAAAGATTGAACCCTTTTTGCTCACACAGGCTGTGTCTACATAGCAGCGTTATTTCAGAATAACTAACATCATGTCGAAATAATGGTGGAGGGGGGGGGGGAATTTTATTCCCACACCTGTAACCCTCATTTTCTGAGGAATAAGAGAAGACAGAGGAAGAGTGCTCTGTCTCGGACTCCCTGCTGTATAGACAGTGCCAAAAGTCGAAATATTTCAACTTAAGCTATGCAATTAGCGTAGATCCAATTACATAGCTTATGTCGAGTTTAGCCCTGCTGTGTAGACATGCCCACAATTAATCAAAGGTTGTTGGGGGTTTTTCTTAATTTGCTGCGAGGCTGAGACTACGCATTGAAGAGTTCTACCCCAAGAATCGAAGTTCAACGTGGCTGTAAGCAACAGAGCGTATCCAAGACATTTTTCTCAATTAAAAAAAATTGTCACAATGGAGAACAGCCACCATTTTTGCAAAATAATGTTGCTAGCTATTTAAAAAAATGTCCAACCAATAAGCAGCTGAAGAAAGTCTGCTAGAGGGAAAACCCTTTTTTGGAACCCTGTCTACATTTTAGCCTTTGTCTAGCTTGACATGGGTGCTTCCCTCTTAAGGGACTGTGTCTGAGGTCCCAGAAGAGACTCTTTTTACCTATCCTGCGCACAACAGGCTCCAGTTCAATCTGGATCGACCCCCCTTTCGTAAGATCCTGAGTGGCTATGAATCTCCAGTGCTCTTCAGAGAGTGCCTCCAAGTCCCTCACTCCATATAAGGCTTGGCTCAGAATCAGGGATTCATTGATCCTCTTGGCCAGCAGCAGGTGTTCGTCTTTTTCATAAGTCTCCTTCTCTTCCACAGGCTTCTGGACTTTGCTTTTCTGAGACTAAGGCCAAAAAGGGGAGAAGTATTACCTGGAGCCCAGATGATGTGCTAACATTGCTGCACTAGAACAGACAGTTGCTGGTGCTGGATGCTTATCCTGTAGTAATCTACAGAGACCTGTTGTGTGAGGTACTGCACAAAGCGACCGTCCTTGGCCCAAAATGCCCATGAGGTAAAGGTGCCAAAGAAACAAAGAGTGGGGGGAAGGGCGTGCTATGATCTCCATTTCCTATGTGGGAAACTGAGGCACAGAGAAACCATATGATTTGCCCCTGGTTGCGCCTGGAGTGTGTGGCAGAACTGGACTCAGGTGTATGGAGTCCAGTGCCTTAATCACAAGACCCCCCTTCCTCTCCATTTTGTAGAGGAAACCCACATAATGCACCTAATTGTATAATGATGTGCAGGACAAGGTAGAGTCTGTTCCTTCCTGACACCAGTTGATTATCATGATGTGCTCTGAAGCATGAGAATTGTCAGACATGTGGTCTAATTCCAGCAGGTACCCTCAGAAATGCTCATGTCATCCAGACACTGGCATATTCATGGAACAAGACGTGCTATTGGGGGAGAAACAGCCCTTCTGATCAGCCTCCAGCCCTGTGATTGGCTGAAGCACTGCATGATGCCCTGGGCCCCGTTCGGTCCTCCCTGACACCCATGTGACCTTGCTGGTGTCAGCAGTTCCAGAGCCGAGTCTCTCTCCTCCCCAATGCAGCCAACCTGTCTCCTTCAGGCCCGGCTGCTGGCTGCAGGTTTGGGCCCGGAACCATTACGTGAGCAGGAGGGATGCATCACTAGGTGGCAGGTTAGAATGTCCTTTACCTGAAAACATGAAGACGAGCCCACAAACTGCTTGATCTTTCTCTGGTTCAAGGCCCCTCCCCCTCACTTTCTTTTCCTTTGCTACTTTTGGGTGGTTTTTGGTCAGGCAGGTCTCCGAATGGCTCTTTCAGGGCACCACGATTAGGCTGCTAAATTCCAGTGGTCAGTGGGTGAGGAATTCAAGAACGCTGCTCCAAAGAGCCTTTTACGCACCCCTCTATGCACAGACGGCAATATTCACAGAAACCCTTCCCCAGGTGTGCATGGCCTTTGTATGCACAGAGCCTGTGAGAGGACCCTTCTTCCACGCTCTCCCCCACATCGCAGCCTCCTCTTACCACAAAACGAAGGAACGTTTCATCATCATGAGCAAGAAAATCCTCGTAGAAGAAGCTGAGAACCTGATGGGGCAACAAGAACAGGCTTTGTAAGCAGCTGCTCGCTACTTCTGCTGGCAGGGCTCTCCACTTTCAGTTAGCCAGGGGCGGCTTTGAAAAACCAGGGTAGTGCAGGGAATGGGGACGGATTAACACCCTCCATGGAGCCCAGAGCCATAAAGGACAGCCCAGTCTCCCCAGAGTGGCAGTGCCCCACATCACCCTGTCCTCTATGCTGACCTGGAAGGGCCACAGGTAGGGGGAGAAGGGAGTTCAATCTCGGTCCTTGGCTAAAACCAGCTGAAAGGGTGTGTTTAGTGAGGGGTTAAGCCCATCATGACTTTCTGCATAGACTGCCCAGTCGCTACGGTTACAGTGGCTTTTAACAGGCTCACCAGAGCAATTCCGGGCCCCAGGGCAGAACAGTCAGTGGGCTCCCACGTATGCACAAGTCATGCCCACGTGGACACGGTCTGCCTGACATTTGGGCTGGCACCCCCTGGGACACAGGAAGGATAATGGGGGCCCTGAAGGTAGGGAGTCTGAGGTTCTGGGTTCAAGTCCTCCCCACCACAAGCCTCTCGAGGGATGGAGCTAGCACCCCCTAGGACACAGGCAGAATAAGGGGGGCCCTGAAGGTTGGGAGGTTGGGGAGCTGCTGGATGCCCTTTTCAGGCATGGCTGCCCGGTCAGATCACCAACTGTCTGACTGGGCCCTGAGGCCATGCCCTGTCATGCCCCTTCTCTGAGGCCACACCCCTGCTCACTCCACCCATCGTCTCCTCTTCCCCAACCTTGCTCCCTTTCACTGGGCTGGGGCAGAGGGTGCAGTATGCAGGCTTGGGAGGGGGGGTTGGGTGCAGGCTTTGGGCTGGGGCAGGGGGTTGGGATGCAGGAGGGGGGTATGAGCTGTGGGAAGGAGTTTGGGTGCTGATTCTGGACACGGAGAGAGGATTGGGGTGCAGGAAAGGGGGCTGGGTGCAAGTTTTGGGCTAGGAGTTTAGGTGTGGGCTCTGGGCTGAGGCAGAGGGTTGGGGTGGGGAAAGGAGTCAAGGGGCCCACTCTTCTCTCAGCCGGTTCCCGAAACTGACCAATACACCCCTCTACCAGTGACTCCTAGGCAGGGAGACCAGGGGGTCTCCATGTGCTGCTGCCTGCAGGCACCACTCCTGCAGCTCCCATTGGCCACATTTCCTAGCCAATGGGGGCTGCAGAGTTGGTGCTCAGAGCAGGCGCAGCATGTGGAGACCACATCCCCAGTGCCACAGAGACATGCTGGCTGCTTCCAGGAACAGCACAGGCGAGGGCGGGCAGAAGTCTGCCTTAGTTCCTCTCAACGGCCCGGGAGGAGGAGGCAGGCAGGGGCTTTTGGGCCTCTTTAAAGCACAGAGAGTAACACCTGCTATATCCAGGGGAATTCTGATTCCTGACCAGTCAGCATGCAGCATGGCCTGTTCCTGCAGCCCTGCCTCACGTCTCTGCCCGCCTCCGAACTGAAGCCCCATTCTCATTAAGAAGGCCCGAAGCTGCTTTTATGAAATCCCCATTTGGGCCTGTGAACGGGGAGCTGCACCTCGTTATGCACGGCCCAGGCTCTGTGTGCACCACAGCTGGGTATGCAGGTTCCGGGAGCCCCGCGGAGGTGCTGCTCACTTTTGAAAATTTGGCCTTTCCTGTCTGGGAATCATGCCCCCTGCACTAGCTTGCAGGGCCAGGTTGTGAGTTTGATCTTCTGCAGTGGGACCTTAGATGCCAGAAGCTCAAGTCACTGTGTTTGCCCACGTCCCGCGGTGACGTGCTCAGTTTTGCAATGCTACAAATGTCTTCCCCCCGGGCGCGGTGGCAGCCCGATGCAGAGGCTGTCCATGATACTGCCTGGCATTAGCCTCACGGGCAGCCTTTCCTACCTTGCAAATCTCTTCCTGTGCTTTTAATATCCAAGGAATGACCTCTCCAGAAGGCAGAAGGTCTTGCAGGTTCCTGAGAGTGCTCGGCCTCAGGGGAAGGTGCTGGCGGTGGCTCTCTGCGAGGTAGATCTCACAAATCCTTTCACCCATCAAATGGCGCAGGAGGAAACTGTCTCCCTTGCTGGAGCTCAGCACCATGCGCAGGAAATCCTCCAGGTCGTGCCACAGGTCCAGCAGATGGGTCTCCACAGCATAGTTCTTGCTCCTCAAGAACTCCCTGAAGGGGCGGCCGGCGTAGCTGTCGGCAGTAAGCGCCCAGGGGAGGAAATCTAAAGAAGAAGCGGACTGGATGATCTTCTTCAGGGCTAGCAATGAAGGCATCTGGGCAATGGGGGTCGGAGGGTGTAGATCCGAGAGGCTTTTCTTTTTGCCAATCTCCTCCAGTTGAAGAGGCAACTGGGCGTGAGGGCTGGGGGGTTTGAAAGCAGTAGCCTCTTCTTTCCCCATGCCTCTACCACCCCTGTCTGGAGGCCCTGACGTCTTTCCTAGGGACTCCTCGGTAGGAGGGGGTTGCTTCGTGGCTGCCAGATTATCTGCACTCCAGTCTGAGCCTGGCTGGCCCTCTGGCGCTGGCCCGTGTCTCCCGGGTTTCTCTGTTTCTTTAGCTTGTCTGCTGCATGTTACGAGATCCCAGACCCGCTCCTTGGCTCTCCTGCTGGAGTACGGCTCTGACGTAGCCCGGCTGTGCCTGATACTCATGGTGGGTGCTGGGGATGCTATCTTCTCCTGCGAGCCCTCCTGCAACGCACGCTCATGGTACTCCTGCAGCAGCGGCTGGCACACCTCCACCTTCTCGAGGTTCAGCTTGCAATGAATGTAAAAGTGGGGGAGCCAGTAACTTTGGATCTTAAACAGGGCCACTTTCTGCATCTCGCTCAGGATCTCCCGCCTGGTGCTGTTGTGCTGAGGGTGCCAGCCGGAGAGCTTCAGCAGCGACTCTGGAAAGGGCATAGAGAATGGTGGAGTACGGGTGTGAGTGAGAGCCTGCCGGAGTCCAGGGCAGCCTCTCTGCGGACTCCCTGGCCTTTAGCATGCACCCTGCACAGTAAATGGAGGGGAGAGGAATCCCAGAGACTGCCCCAGGCCTGATTCACACTGTGATGGATAGGAGGAGTGCTGGCCAGCACCCGGTGACTAAGGGGTTAAATTCAGGTCGCTAGCAAGGGTGTTGGCAGGGGGCCAGAAGAACCAATGGGGATACGGTGCTGAAATTTGAATTGTAGAAGATACCTTGTGGCCTAGGTCACTGGCCCCATCAGGGTTAAAACCCAGCCCTGGGAGAGGGCTGAGAGGGTGGAGCCTGCAGCTGAGTCAGATACAGCCAATTAGAGCCCAGCTGGGGCTGTATAAATAAGGGCTCCAGTGAGGCAAAGACTCACTCACTCTTGCTCTAGCTGGACAGCAGGAAGGACTTGGCTGCTAGGGAAGCTGGGGGCTTCCTGAGACCTAGCGGGGCTGGGGAGCTCTGGCCTAAACTCACTCCCAGGCAGCAGGGCCTGAGTGTGCAGGGAGACAGCCGTGATAGGCAAAGGCAGCAGGACCACACCCCTTGCCAATGCTGAGTGGCCATTTCAGGCTGCAGTTTGACCCGGCATGAAGACTGGTGGGTGGAGGGGAATTGGAAAATAAAATAAAATAGTGTTAGATTGCTGTGGGCAGGAAGGGACATGGTGCTGAACCAGCAGAAGACCTGCACCAGAGGCTGGGACACAGACCAGGGCTTTGGCTGCGTTAACATCTGAGGTGAGCCTGACTACTCCATGGGTGTGGCAATGGGCTGCACCTGCCCTCGTCCCGGCTGAGACAGACAACTCTCTCAAAAAGCTGCCAGGAGCTGCCAGTCTCCAGCTCTTCTCACTTTTGTATTTATTCTCTCTGCTCCATCACTTTACTTCAGCTCTGCTCTGGAGAACTCCCGTCCCTGGGGCTAGGGAATGGATTGTTCCCACCTCCTGGCAGCTCTGCTCTCTGCCATTGCTCCTCAAGCCTGCACAGCTGGAAGGATGTCCCTCTTTGGGGTGAAGGAGGGATTTGGGGGGAGCTAGTCTTTCTGGGCCTGTGAGATCTTTAACCAGGTGATACTAGTGACCATTCTGCAAGGGGCAGCTGGACAAACTGACTCCATGCTCCTCAACCTCCTAGCCGCAAAGACAGCCCCATGTTTCTATCCCCCACCTTCCAGCTAGGCTTGGGGTGCTGGACATGCCCAGAAAGTGCACACCTGCACTGATGTGTGGCTGTGCCTGGACGTTTGGATTTCCAGCCTCATGTTCTCCTTACCAATGGTCATGCTGCACAGGGTGACCACTGTGGAGCCCTCCTGCAAATGGGTGGCCTTCAACACGTGGAGCAGAGACAGGTAGAGATCTCGCTGGGTCACATCTGACTCGTCAATCTCCAAGAGCCTTTCTGCAGCAATCCAGAACTTTGTCAGCTCTTCCCCTGTGGGTCAGAGACACCGCAACAATGGTGAAGGGTGGGGAGAGAAAGAGCAAGTGAGTGGAGTGCACAGGAGAGTCAGGGTAGGAGGCGTTCCCTGGAATCATTGCTGATGAGACAGGAGGTGCTATTCTAAAGGAGAGGCCTTTGAGCAAGCTGTAAGAGGGTAAAGCATAGAGATGGGCCAAAATGGTGTATTTCAGCTCCATACTTGGGGGTTTTTGGAGATACCTGGTTCTTATCCAGGATTGTTTTCAGAAGAGCATTCTGTTACCCACTCGCTTATTCTCCCTGGCTGTCTAGACTGGCAAGTTTTTCCACAAAAGCAGCTGCTTTTTGGAAAAACTTGCCAGCTGTCTACACTGGCCGCTTGAATTTCTGCATGAACACTGACAATCTCATGTAAGAAATCAGTGCTTCTTGCGGAAATACTGCGCTGCTCCCGTTTGGGCAAAAGTCCTTTTGCACAAAGGTTTTTTTTTCCGGAAAAGCGTCCGTGCCAATCTAGATGCTCTTTTCCGCAAATGCTTTTAACGGAAAACTTTTCTGTTAAAAGCATCTGTGGAAAATCATGCCAGTCTAGACATAGCCCCTCTGTTTCACACAGGGTGTATCTGCATGGGGAGTTAGGGGTGTGAGTCCCAGCTGGTGTAGGCACACGGTAGCTCTCATCCAGCTTGCATACAAACCATGTGGACAAGGTTGTGCTGACGTGGCTACACTTCTCTTTTTGGATGTGAGTGAGTATGTGTTACATTTCAACAAGTTGGGAACCACGTCCCTCGCTCCAAGTGTAAACTTAGCCAGGGTCCATCTAGTTCTATATGCGGCTTACCGTTCCCTATCCCAATATCCAGCTGCAGAGCTGGCCACTTGGCACAGATGGATACATGGGGGCAGTAGGAAGGAAGCTCTCTGCAGTCACCTGCCATTCCTTGGATGAAGGAACGAAAGCGCCACATTCCCCTGCTGCCGCTAATGCACTTTTCGAGCAGCCACTGATCTGCCCTCGTCCATTTCAGCATCTGAGCTGCACGAGAAAGTGAAAGGCATCCTATCAGACAGTACTTTGAGCATATGCAAGCCCATCCCCGGTGGAAATTCCAGTAGCTCCCACTGGAATCCTTCTACAGGTCTCTGTGACTTTCTGTTCCAGAACCTAGTTGCCAGCGGGAACAAATAAGAGCCGGTTGCCAATGCTCCACTGGCATTCCCACTGGGAATACCCAGTATATGGACCTGGAAAGCCCCACACGCGCCCTCCAGACCCAGCTATCCCCTTCCCCTCGTCTCACATCTTCCTTTTCCATTTCCATTGATTATTTCAACTGGGAATCCCCTTCAAACCTTCCTGTTATCTAATATTAATGTAGGTGGCAAGAAAAAGCCGGGGAGGCAGAGGAAAGGTTGAACTGGAGTGACCTTTGCTCCTGGTGACTTTGTAATGCAAGATGAACATGGCTCCCCTGCCTTCACAGCTCTTCTGACAGTCTCGCGCTAAAGCTTGTGTTGAACCGCATGGACCAAGTTTATCCAGGTTAGGCCAGGATGCCTAGATCTTGTGCTGCTATAGCCAGTCGGGGGTTAATAGGCAGAGCAGCGGCTTCCCCACCTGCAGGGAATTGTTTGACCTGGGCTAAAAGGCTGGAGCTCAGAGTGGGGCTGTGGTCTGGGGAGGACTGGACCTGCTGGGAACTGGGAGGCGACAGTGCAAAGGGCTAGAGCTTCCAAGGACAAAATGGGGGGTGGGCGCACTGCCCTAGTGTCCCCAGTCTCAGCATGTCTGAAGCCTGAGATCCATGCTGAAGCAGGGGGCGTTCTGGGGCCATACCTGAGTTTGGGAAGACATTGCCTTCCCTCCCCTCTTACACCCACCGCCCAGGAGAGAGGCCTGCAGGCCGATGGAGGCAGGAAGGGGCTGAGGGAAGCACATCTCACCTGCTTAGTACGGGGTCCCTGGGCTGGAACCCAGAGGAGAGGGAGGCCCCGGGGTCCCTCCCTGCCTCCAACAACTTTCCATTTCCCTGGTAAGTGGGCTGCAGCCCTCGTGCTTTGGGTTAAACACTAGGGCCCAGACTCAGACCTGCTGTACCTATGACACAGACTGGCAGGGACACAAGCTAGGGCACTATTGTGTAAGTGCAGGACATGGCAGACAAGCAAGCGATAAGCTTTTTGGTGAGCTCTCTCATGACCCACCAAACCCGCCATACGTCAGTGGGACTCCTACTGGCATATACCATTGGTTTCTATCTTGGATTGGCCACCAGATACATTTTTAAATGGCCGCTGCTCCTTCAGAGGAGGACAAAAACTGGGTCATCTCAGGATGTTTATAAGAGGATTCTTTCAGCATCATGGGCCAGTCCACCTCTGGCTGCAACTTGCATCATGATTTCAGGGATAAATTGACTGGCTGGTGACTTGAATAGCAGTGTGCATCTTAGACAAATGCCGGGAACGGTGTAAGCGGTAAAGAAGGGCAACTTGCAGCAATTTAACACTTAGCCATGGGCGATGTGCATGTTAGACAAATGCTGGGAACGGTGTAAGTGGTAAAGAAGGGCAACTCGCAGCAATTTAACACTTAGCCATGGGCGTGCAAAAGGCACATAACTTATTGAGAGGGGAGAGAGCTGGACTATAGCTGAAAAACTAACTATAACAAGTCCTTTCATTTTGTGCTGTGCTCTTCTGGTATTTGCTTTTTCTACCCTCTGTTTGCACCCACCCTGCATACTCATGCTGTCAGAGTCCCCTTTGTGTAACCTCTGTTGATAGACCAAACTAGCATCCTTAGCACAGAATGTTCTCACATGTGTCGTAGTTATGGGGCTGGTTGTGAAGGTGGAATAACTGCAGATAAAAAATCAGGGTCACCCCATTGTTCATGTTCAGAGCAGCTGAGTGATTCTCAGATGCACTACCAGCAAACCTGTTCCCTCCAATATTTACCTGTAGAGAGGAGCATGAAAAGTAGAAATAATATGATCTTTTTATGTGTTAACTGACCTGGAATCACTGAGACACAATAGATTCCTCAGGTGTTAAGGCCCAAAGGGACCATTTGGAGCTAGTTGTACTTTCTGCACAACACAGACCAGATTACCTCTACACTGCAATGCTATTTCGGGATACTGAAAGACTTTCTGCACAACACAGACCAGGTTACCTCTACACTGCAATGCTATTTCAGGATACCAGAGCACCCGAAATAGCTATCCTGCATCTTCACAGCAAACCTGTTATTTCAAAATATAATGGGCTCCCTGTTTTGACATCCCTGTAAACCTCATTTCACGAGGAGAAACGGACGTTTTGGAATAGCGGGTTATTTCTAAATTTGGGGCTGTGTTGAAAGTGCCAAAGGACAAAATAAGCTATTTTGAAATAAGATTGAAATAAGCTACGCAATTTGTGTAGCTCAAATTGTGTCTTATTTCGAGCTACATTGTAGTGTAGACACATCCCTAGTGATTCCTGCATTCTGTCCATCACTAGCCAGCGCCTCTCTTTTAGAAAAACGTCCACTCTTGATTTAAAGACTCCCAGACTGTGAGTTGCTACAATAAGCAAAGCCTCTTTTCAGCCCTTCCCCACAATTTACCAAATGCTTTTTTCCCTTACATGAACAAAACCATGTAACAAAATGCCACCATTTTATAAGCATAATGACCTGGTCCAGCATGTGCCACCAGCTCCTCACACCTCAGTTACCACCACCAGAAGTGAGCGCTTGACCTTACCGGAGCCAGGACACGGCACTGGTGATGTGCCAAATTAGAATGTTTGTGTTCAAAGTCACCTTTGCTCACCTGCCTCCTTGGATCTAATGAAGCTGAGAAGCTCCTGACAGAGAATGTAGTGAAGACACAGGTTGGTTTTACAGAAGTGCGTCAGTCGGTACTTTTCCATCCAAGTCATCAAGCCTTTGTACTTTGGCACCTGTATTCCCCCCAACGATTGATCAGACAGTGAGGAATGAGTTAACCCTGGTGTAACTCCGTTGACTTCATTAAAGGAGAACCTGCTAGGGTGAGGGGCCTGTCAGACTCTCAGGGCTCAAAGCTTTGTAGAATTTGTTTTTTGTGACCTTTTCAGGATACTGAACATGTGGGGGGACAGAAACCCCATGGATCCCATTGGGGTTACACCTGAGGGAGAGGGATTTGCTCCCTGTCAGTGAAGCGGAGGGGAGGAAGAGGTGGTGGTGATGCAGCTGGATCACTGGGGAAGAAGTGAGAACAGGAGGAGTGCCAAAGCGCGAGCAGATCCTGCTGGTGGCCATGGAGAGGAGAGATGCTGCAGGGAGTGGTTGAGGTGAATCCCCCTGGCTGTGCAAAGACAGGCCTATCGTGTCTGAGGATAGAATGTTTGGCTCCCCACTGTTCTACTGAATTCAATGAAACTTCTGCCCCGTAAAGTCAATGGGAGTCTTTCAACCCCAGGGACCGTTTCCAGGATCAGGGCCTTGGTCACTTGTGCTCCTGATTGTAGCCAGAGTTCACAAAGAACATGACTCCGCCTCTTAAAATATAGCCCTTAACTGACTAAACATGAGGAGGGGCAAAAAGGAAGGAGCACCACCCCTGGGAATCTTAAACCCTATGGGTGCATCTAGACTAGCAAGATTTTGCGCAAAAGCGGCTGCTTTTGTTCAAAAACTTGCCAGCTGTCTACCCTGGCCGCTTGAATTTGTGCAAGAGCACTAACTTTGTAATGTACAAAATCAGTGCTTCTTGCACAAATACTTTCATGCTCCCGCTCGGGAAAAAGCCCTCTTGTGCAAGAATACTTGCGCAAGAGGGCCAGTGTAGACAGGGAAGAACTGTTTTGCGCAAAAAAGCCCCAATGGCTAAAAGGGTGATCGGGGCTTTCTTCAGCAAAATCGTGTCTAGACTGGCCACGGATGCTTTTGCGCAAAAGCACTTTTTGTGCAAAGGCATCTGTGCTAATCTAGACACATTTCCGTTAAAAGTATTTCCGCAAAATCATGCCAGTCTAGATGCAGCCTATATGTTCTTCCCATCCCTGGTATTGTCCCTCCCTCCCACACCCCTCCCTTTCAGGAGAGAAAGTCTCAGAGTGCTACTGTTATTGCCTCACCAGATAGCATGGTAGCTCTGGCCACAGGAACCACTGGCAAATGTGGGCCATGTAAATGGGTGTCTGACCAAAGACCTATAAAGGAAGAACAGGGGAGAAGTGAGTGACATTGGGGTGGGGGAAAGGGGCTGACTTGTAGAGTCAATAAAGCAGAGGGTAATAAACGGCCCAAGGGCTGGACACAGTTTGCCAGTGTTATTCCCTGCTAGGCTGCCACTGCTGTATTTACTTGTGCCTCTCCAGGTACAGGAGCTTGCAGCTCCCATTGGCCACAGATCGCTGTTCCTGGTCAATGGGAGCTGCAAGAAGCGGTATCCTGGTTTGTGCCACTTCCTGCAGCTCCTATTGGCTGGGAATGGTGATCCACGGCCAATGGGAGCTGCAAGCCCCCATACCTGCAGACACACTTAAATAAAGTGGCGACCTACCAGGGGCTAACCCTGGCGAACTGCCTCCGGCTTATTGCCCACCTCTGCCAGAATTCATACCAGGAAAGCTGCCTTTCCCATAGACCATCATCCCCACTTATTCTTCCAAGTCCTGCAGAGTCCTTCCCGCCTTTCTTGGGAAGCACATGCTCTCTTCATACAAAATTGTTAATAATAATGAGCCAGCTGTTTAAAGGAGAAGAGATGCTTCCTTCCCCGTGGTTCTGGGGCTCAGCCTGTGGGCTGTTACGTGTTTGTATTGCAGCGGGGCCTAGGTTCCCCTAGCGTACCAAGTGTTGTACTTACATGGAGTGAAGGAAAGCTGGGACTTGAACTCAGCCTTCCTGAGGCTTAAACCCACAAATTCATTCCTTCTCTTCCGAGAATGCTGTCTAGGGGAGCCAACTGCCACCATGGGCCCCTGGGCAAGGGATGTGGGTAGGGTTGCCAGATGGTTTCAACAAAAATACAGGACACACTTGACATTACATCACAATCTACATTACAGCTTATTTAGAAAATACCAGACATTTCTATTTTCTCATTTATATTTTCTCAATTTGTTTCCCGACCAGAAAGCTCAAATACTGGACTGTCCGGTTCAGAACTGGACACCTGGCAACCCTATGTGTGGGAGGCCGGCTCTATGCTCCGGGGAGAGGTGGGGCCAGAAAGGGCGGGCCTGAGGGCCCTCAGTACCACCCGGAACATGATGCCGCCTCCAGCCCTTAGATCTACTCAGTGTGCACGGCACCATGCTCCAGTGGAGATTTAAAGGGCTCAGGCCTCTGGCCATCGCTGCTGCTGCTGCAGTAGCAGTGGCAGGGACATGGAGCCTGAGGTCGCTTTGAATCAGTGGGCCCTGGGGCAACTGTCCCCTTCCACCTCTCCCCTCCTCCATTGGCCAGCCTGGCTCTATCCTGCTAGGCCCAAACGAGCTCCGGAGTGGCTGGGAAGTTCGGAAAGGGATCCCTAATTCCCACAAGCAGTCACACTCTGTTTTGCATCTCATAAGACAACACCACTGGCAATTCAGCAATCGGCCTGAGTCCATATGTCTACAGTGCTATCCCACAGCCCTGTGCCCCCTTAGCCTAAGCCAGCTGAGCCTGGAAGACATCTTGAATTGTCAAATTACCTCATCTTTGGGATTCAGATTGCAATTTATTTGTTTGTATATATTTGCTTGCTTTAACCTTCTTATTTTCTTTTTCCTACTTAAGCAATCTTTAAATGACTGCATTACAGGATTGGCTACAGGTGTTGTCTTTGGTGTGAGATCTAAAACCCACATTGATCTGGGATAAGTAGCTGGTCTCTTAGGACTTGGAGCAACCTGAATATTTTGTGATTTTTTTTGGAGCAAGTGACCATTTATCACTAAGTCCAGCTTGCCTGAGTGGAGGATCTAAGGGTACTGTCTGTGACTATGCACAGTCCTGTGGCATCTTAGTGACTAACAAACCTATTATATCATGAGCTTTCGTGCGTATAACCCACTTCATCAGTTGAGCTGGAGTGGAGATAACAGAAACCAGAGAATAAATTTTAGCAAAAGCAATTACCTGTCAATTGTAGGACCAGTGTTAATTAAGCTAATTGAGTCAGGCTGGATGTGTCCCATTCATAGCTTTTGATGTGTAAATGTGAATATCAAAGGCAGGGGAAATTGCTTTTGTAGTGGGTTAACCAGTTAATATCTTTATTCAAGCCCAAGTTGATAGCGTCGAACTTGTAAATGAACTCCAGTTCAGCAGTCTCCCTCTGTAACTGGGTGATAAAATTCCTTTGTAGAAGAATGGCTACTTCTACATCCATGACTGAGTGACCAGGCAGATTAAAATGTTTTCCACTCATGGTTGTGAGCCACTCCAGAAAGCCTGACACAGACGCTACATGCAAAATTAAGATGTGTGCTGTGTGCTGCCCAAAGTACTGCTTGGGTAATTACATTCTTCCTATCTAAACAATCCTTCTTACCCCATATTTAGCTTGAAACAGCTGGAAAAACTACATCTAAAGATGCATGCCCATGGAGCAGGTGTAAGGGTAGCTCCCAGAGCTGTGCCGGTCTCAAATCACAGGGTTCCCTACGATCTGCAAACTCACAGGAGGGAGGGGAGAATATGCTGAGATCCAGAAAGCAAATGAGCTAAATTGCAAGATGGAAACTTACGGGGAGATTGAGGAATGTGTTGAAAAAATCTACAAAGACTTCATCTTCCAGCAGAATCATCAGCTCGGTGGAGGCTATGGTTGCTAGGGTAGGAGAAGAGAAATGGTTACCTTGCTTTTGTTAGAGAGGCAGAGAAACTGAGCCAATAAAAAGAATGTAAGAAAGCTATGATAACCCCCTGGGGAGCGTTGTATATGACCCATCCTTCTGTGCTAATCTACAGGAGGTATATACATGTGTTACTACCACAATTGGCGAGCTTACACTCAAGCTGCAACTTATACCTCTAGTTCAATCCTTGGTGGTCATCATACAAGGAAAGGCAATTGTTTAAAGCGATTCTTAACAAATTCCTTCTAACTCCAGTTTTTAAGAAACACAAAAGGAGGAGATTGTTTAATAGACTGGATAACCATGACACTGAAAACTGTGAATACTTTCACACAGAGGCTTGGGAAAGGGGGACAGATTCCCTCACGGTATGCTGTGAAGCAATACCTACCACAGGTCAAATTAGTCAGGTGTTACGAACTCTGGGAAAAAATAATGTAAGAAAGCTATGATAGCCCCCTAGGGAGCGTTGTATATGACCCCTCCTTCTGTGCTAATCTACAGGAGGTATATACATGTGTTACTACCACAATTTGAGAGCTTACACTCAAGCTGCAATTTATACCTCTAGTTCTGGAAGTCCCCAGTTCAATCCCTGGTGATCATCATACAAGGAAAGGCAATTGTTTAAAGTGATTCTTAACAAATTCCTTCTAACTCCAGTTTTTAAGAAACACAAAAGGAGGAGATTGTTTAATAGACTGGATAACCATGACACTGAAAACTGTGAATACTTTCACACAGAGGCTTGGGAAAGGGGGACAGATTCCCTCACGGTATGCTGTGAAGCAATACCTACCACAGGTCAAATTAGTCAGGTGTTACGAACTCTGGGATACGTCCCAAAATAGGATAGTGCCTGACCTGGGTTACTGCCATGCCAATGTGGACACAGCTGTGACTCTAAGTTAGTCGGGTGCTACAAACTCTGGGATACGTCCCAAGATAGTATAGTGCCTGACCTGGGCTACTGCCACGCCAATGTGGACACAGCTGTGACTCTAAACACCCCTGTGTTCACACACTACTGCAAAGTGTGTAGGGGGGACAGATAGCTCAGTGGTTTGCGCATTGGCCTGCTAAACTAATGGTGGTTAGTTCAATCCTTGTGGAGGCCATTTAGGGATTTGAGGCAAAAATTTGTCAGGGATGGTACTTGGTCCTGCTGTGAAGGCAGGGGACTTGACTCAATGATCTTTCAAGGGCCCTTCCAACTCTAGGTGATAGGCAATCTCCATAAACTCAAAAAAAATGTTTGTACAAACTATGCCTCATAAAGTGTCATTTGAAAATGAATAGTAGGTCTATAACCATCCATAGAATAATGTGGAATAAATAAGGAAGTGTTATTTTCCAGAACCAGGGGTCATGCAATGAAATTAATAGACACAGTGCTTAAAACATATGAAGAAATACTTCTGTGCACAATGCATAGTCAGCCCATGAAACTTGGTGCCTGGGGATGATGTGAAAGCCAAAAGCATATCTGGGTTCAAGAATTAATTAGATACATCCATGGAGGATAGATCCATCAATGGTTATTAGTCAAAATGGTCAGGGATGCAGCCCCATGTTTTGGGTGTCAACCAACCCTCCGACTCCCGTAGCTGGAACTGGCCAACAGGGGATGGATCACTCAATAAACTGCCCTGTTCTGTTCATTCCCTCTGAAACATCTGGCGCCACCTACTGTTGGAGGATAGGCTATTAGGCTGGATGGACCATTGGTCTGACCCAGTATGGGCAGTCTCATGTTCTTACATTCTTACACTGGTCATTAATATCATTGTAAATGCATGTTGAACCCTAATTTGTGAAGTTCTGAGTTCCCTCTGCATAATCTTACTAGAAGATGTGTAAGAAGACAGTCAAGGGAAAGGTGATAAGCGTGTCCATGCTAGACAAAGAAATGAGGATTTACCTGAGTTTATATCCAAGGTGGGCAGCCTGGAAGCCTCATGAGGCCCATTGGCGTTCTATGTGTGGCCCGTGAGACATTTCGTTTACTGTTGCCCACACACAAGATTGCCAGGTGCGGTGCCTCTGGTTTTTCTATTGGTATTGCTAAATGACACACACATAGAGCAAGGGCACATGAAGTGAGCATATTGCATAGCAGGAATTGTGTACCTTACACCGACCTGCCCAGTCTAATATAGACCAGGCCTCTGAGCCCTAGTCTACACTAGGGCTTTATTTCGAAATAACCCCCCTTAGGTCGAATTAATAAGCGGAGCGTCCACACAACCAAGTCAATTCTTTCAAAATAACGGGCCGCTTGTTTCGAAATCGGTACTCCTGCTTTCCTCGGGGAATAACGCTAATTTTGAAATTGTTTTTTCAAAATAGCGGTAGCATGTCCACTCTGGTTCTGCTATTTCGAAATAACGACTCCCCTGGGTAATTTGAAGTAATTACTCCCCGGTGCTTTCTGGAGCTCTAAGTCGAGTAGTGCGTCCACATTAACAGAGCCTGATTTTGACTCGTCCCCATAGTGAGGACACACTATTTCAATTTTGTTGCTTTGGGAGTTATTAAATTAATTGGAGTTATTTCAAAATAGTTTCCTAGTGTAGCCATGCCCAGAGAGGTATTATTATCCCTGTTTCACAGACTGGAAAGTGAGGGACAAAGGCAAGAAGGGCACCTAGAAACTGTGCATTCCAAATGAATGGATACTCCTGAAAAGCCGAGATCACACAGCCAATCTGTGCCAGAGGCAGGAACAGAACCAAGCCTAACTCACCAGCCTTTTTGCTCATGTTTCCTCTGTCCTGGAGCTCTTTGCTGTCACTGCCAATCCAGACCATTCTAGAGGGAGTCGCCCCTTTGTGATGCGTTGGGATTGCTGCTCTGCAAGGTTCTGCACCCACCTGGCACCGACTGGTGGAGGTGCCATGCTACGCCGTGGAGAGCCATGTGTATTATCCCCTCGTGGATTCCAGATCAAATCTGCTAGTCATTTCTTCAACTGCAAGCCCTATGAATATGCCTTGTTAACCCCAGAGTCAAGCTGGGGATGTTCCGTCTGAAGCATCAGTCCCTGTAAGAAAGAGTCAGTAGACCCAACATAGGCCCTCTGCTCGTGCTCCAAGATGCCTTGCTGCCAACAGAACAATGCAAGGAGTATGCACTGTCAATCTGGAGAGGCAGCTGAAGGCAAGTCCCAGAAGGACAGGGAGATGAAAAAGGAAATGCCAGGCAGCTGCAGAATGGTGAATTCCACTGCAGAAATGCTGAATCCTGTGCAGAAATACATCGGGCTACACTCATCTTGAGCATAACCCTATTATGGCATTAGAGTGAGGATGAATCTGGTCTATTGCTATTTCTGCCCTTGGCTGGAAACAAGAACTACCAGAAATGCTCCAGTTTTATGGGCCCTTTCTGGTAGTTTGGCAAAAGCTCAGATAAGCCACCAAACGTAGTTTCTTATCAACCTGGACCTCCAAACTTTCTGAGGTTCTCCTCTCGTGAATACAGTACATACATAAAAGCAGCAGGCTCTCTCTCCCCTGCATACCAAACCTATACAATTTATTTATAACTTACAGTGTCTTATCTGAGCTTTGAAGCACAGCAAGGATTTGGGTAAATGAATTGGACTATGCTGTGAAACAGAATGCTTACCGGCTGACAATCTATACATCATGTTAAAATGCAGGCCAGGATACCCTGAGAATGTTCGTGTGAAAAACTTGAAAAACAACAAATAGTCTAGTAGCACCTTAAAGACTAACAAAACATGGAGATGGTATCATGAGCTTCCGTGGGGCACCCCTTTGAAGCTTTTGAATGTTCCTGTGAAATGGCTAAGAGCAATTTGTGTTTCATGACAGCAGGTGGCACTGTTAGATTAGAAATACTAAACTCAGCACTTTTTGGAATTATGTTTTGATTCTTGGTATCCCATTACATTGGATCCACCAGCAGAAAGATGGGAATCATTAATGTAAGGTTACTCCATTTGAGTCTGGCTTCCTATTCTTCCCTCTCGGAGTTAGATGTAGCAAAAGCCTCTGGCTGTGTCTAGACTGGCAAGTTTTTCCGCAAAAGCAGCTGCTTTTACGGAAAAACTTGCCAGCTGTCTACACTGGCTGCTTGAATTTCCGCAAGAACACTGACGATCTCGTGTAAGATTGTCAGTGTTCTTGCGGAAATACTATGCTGCTCCCATTCGGGCAAAAGTCCCTTTTGCGCAAAGCTTTGTGTAGACAGCCAGTGTAGACAGCTCAGATTTGTTTTACGGAAAAAAACCCCGATCGCGAAAATGGCGACCGGGCCTTTTTTGCAGAAAAGCTCATCTAGATTGGCATGTACGCTTTTCCGCAAAAAGTGCTTTTGCGGAAAAGCATCCGTGCCAATCTAGACGCTCTTTTCTGCAAATGCTTTTAACGGAAAACTTTTCCGTTAAAAGCATTTGCGGAAAATCATGCCAGTCTAGACGTAGCCTCCAGGTTTACACACACAGAAGGTCAGTGCCTCTGGAGACAGCACCTTGTGGATTGAGCAAGGGGCTGGGAGTCAGGAACACCGGAGTCTTATGCCTGAGTCCAATGATACTGACTTGTTCTGTGGCCTATGGCGACTGATTTTTATCTCTTTGTATCTTCTAAATGTTGATCAATGCAAGTTCGGTTGTCATTAAGTCACAGCAGTTTGTGCCTGTGCACACTTGACTTCTTGCACTGGTGTTGTGCATACTCACCAGGAGGGCTTGTGTTGATGTGCAGTGCAGTGCGCCATGTGTACGTTTCCCAGTGTACAACCCGCCACTTTCCAGCACACTGTCTTTGGGATAGTTTGGCAATGCACGATGGGGCTAAAATGAGTCAACGCAAGATGACTAGGAGCAAGGGGTGCATCTGTCTCCATCCCACAGTGTCACATATAGTCCATCATTTTTGTGTCTTTTTTAAAAGTCCCTACAACCCTCTCTGGTCCTCCTCGCTGTCCACGCTGCAAGCCCAGGATGCACAATCCTCTGATGTTTGCAGAGCGGCAAGGAAAACGGAATCCGCAGGGAAGGTGACTGTTCGCTGGGGGACAGACTGCTGGGGGACTTAATGAGAACCAGCTCCAGGTTGTGGGTAGCGCTGTTGGGGCGGCTGCCGATGGTGGAACAGTGCTTCTAGGCCCGAGAATTGATCACTGACCGTGGGATGGCCTTGCACTGCAGGCAGTAGATGATAGGCAGTGGCTGCAGAACTTTCAGATGTGCAAAGGCACAGTCTTGGATCCAGGCTCTGAGCTCCCCCACCCCTCCAGTGTGGGGACGCCCAGAGGAGCGCTGCACTGACACAGGCAAAGCGAGTGGCAATGGCACAGCAGAAACCTGCGGTACCGGTCAGTGGGAGCTGGAGAATCTGCTGCAGGAGCTATCACCGTGCAGGTGGGCAAAGCCACTCTAATGGGCTCTCGCAACACAGGCCTGTGGCTCTCGGCACTATGCCGGACACAGGATGGCTCAGTTGCATTGGGATTCTCAAACTGCGGCAGTAGGTAGCAGGCATGTGCATGGATGTCATGAACCCCCACTTCAGGGAGGCTAGCCTGCGGGCCCTGCCCCTTCTGCCTGAGGCCCCCCCCTCCTGATGTTCCACCCCCCATAACTGGAGGAGCCCTGGCTTGCCCACCCTAGCCACCCAAATGCAGCCCCCCCAAGCAGCAGGCCAGCTCAAGCCACACTGGGTCACGCCAACTGCCCTCCCAAATCGCACCTCCTCCCCCAGAGCACCCAGCCAGCCCCAGTGTGGGACAGAGCCCCTGGCTCCCTGCCTTTTATATCCACCCTGAGCTGAGCTGCCGACTCCACTGCTCAGCTGAGCCACCTCTCTCACTGAGGAGGAGCAACGTGGTGAGCTGCGGGTACCTGGGGCAGAGGAAGGGGGAATGCAGGCAGGTGGTTCAGGGAGGGTGGGGCCACCATGGCCCAGGTGTCCAGCGGCAGGTCAATGCGCCAGGCAAGAATTAGCCTTCCCTGGCCAATTATACCTGCTGCCCCAGACAACCTTGCCAGAAAGGGCTATTTTCCTGTGGTTATGCAAGCATTGGTGAATGCTGGTCAGGGAAGGTTCATGACGTGAGCATCTTTCAGAACACAGGACTGCTCAGAAAGCCACAAGCTAGGGTGTTCTTTCCTGACTGGCGGATTACCCTTCGCCCTGTTGAAATGGCAGCAGCGATCCTGGGTGACTTAGCCAGTCCCTGGCTCCTTGGTGGAGGGTGGCCACTGTACGGCTGCATGAAAGACTAAACTATTGGCACAGCAGGTGTAGAATGGCAGCTGAAGGTGCTTCTTGATAGACTGGAGGGACATTGGTGGTGTTACTCACACGACTGGAGCTCAGTAAAAAAAACCAACATCCCGGTGCTTATAGCTGCCGGCTGTGCCCTACATATCATCTATAAGGCAAAGTGGGGAAGTCGCTGCTGGGAGGGAGGTGAAAGAGCTATCTGCTGAGTTTGACCAGCCTGACCTCAGAGCTATTAGAAGAGCTCAGGGTGGAGCTACCCAGCTCCGAGAGGTGTGGAAAGAGCCCGTTAATGCTGAGCCCCGATAATGCATTGTGCTCCCTGCCTCGCCCTGCTGTTCTAGGGCCCAGCAGCAGTCTTGCGGTGCTCGACGTTCATCTGTGACTGCAGCATGGCCAATACACTCATTCATTTTGTGGTGCGCGCTGTCCTTTTATCACGATTCCATTGTGTTTTTGATTGATCCTATGCTGTGTCGTATTGTACAGTGATGAGTGGGTGCTTTCAGAACTGCCAGGCAAACTGCAGCATATGCTGGGAACAAATTGAGATGACTTGTTTTCCAAACGCAAATTGTATTAAGTAAGAAAACCCTGCAAAGAGAAATCTGTGCAGTTAAAAACCAACTCCATTAGTGGAACAGAGCTCAACTGGCAAGAAATTTCATGTATATTTCCCCTGTATAGCCAGAAGCCCTAGCTTGCACAGGTCAATGTATGTGAGCCTGTGGTTGTCCTTAATGTCCCAGGGATGGAGTTGTAGGGATAGGGATGTGGCGGCTGATGCCACGTGGAATTTGGGGGGATGGGATGTAAAGAGGTGTCTTATGGAATTCTCTTTGCACTACAAGGGGAGGGAAGCCTGGGACTTTGAGCTTATGGCTCCACAAAAGTCTGCAGCATCCGTGTTTGCTGCCAGAGAAGTCCCACTACGCCCAGGTGCCCTCTCCTTTTCCTGCTGGGAAGCTAGGCCCTTCTCCAGTCAGCTTCTTCCTTTTCCAGGCTGTCTGCAGTGTGCCCCCTTCAGGCCCTTTGCTCGAGGTCTGACGCAGAGCTGGCTTGCAGGACCTCATTGAACATGGCATCATAAAAGTCTGCAGCATCCGTGTTTGCTGCCAGAGAAGTCCCACTACGCCCAGGTGCCCTCTCCTTTTCCTGCTGGGAAGCTAGGCCCTTCTCCAGTCAGCTTCTTCCTTTTCCAGGCTGTCTGCAGTGTGCCCCCTTCAGGCCCTTTGCTCGAGGTCTGACGCAGAGCTGGCTTGCAGGACCTCATTGAACATGGCATCATAGTCATCT